CGTCGTACTTGACGGGTTTGCCGGCTCGCACAACAATTGGTTTCAGGTTCGTTCTGTCAATCCTTGGTTTCACTGAAGCGGGCAAAATTGTACAACACAACATTATTTCATGGTATATATATTAGAGTGAAAAAATGTAATACTTTTTTATAATAATATCTTTTTTTTTTGCGAGAACTTACGAGCCTTGTGCTTGCAGATCTGCATCTTCGACGCGTCTGACGGCGGCGAGGGTCCGGCTTTGTTCACAGCGATGACTCGGAACTGATATTCACCCCTTTCTTTCAGATCGGGTACTTTGCCCTCAAGCTGATCTCCAGGCACCTCGATAGCCTTCTCCCAATCAGGCTTATACCGATCTTTCTTCTCGATAATGTATTTCTCGATCGGTGCACCTCCATCGAACTCGGGCGGAGTCCATTTCAAGCTTATGGACTCGTTATCATAATCGGTAATCTCGGGGGTTCCAGGTTTCAAAGGTTCGTCTTAAAAAGAATTGTATTCAATTAAATTTCATTCTGAATTTATCGTGAATTAATATACAAATTTAACACGCTAAATATAACGGAGATAAATTATATCTCAAAAAATATATTGTAACTTTTTAATATTTGATATTTAACGCAATTAAATTTTTAAATTAAAATCTTGTAAAGATAATTGCACACAAAACCTATTTTAATTTAAAAAGAAACTTTAAACTAATTAAAGAACTTATTAATAAATAATGCATAATATAATTTTCCGAATATTTCTTCAGATATTTTGATAAATTAAGGTCTTTATATACATCTCAATGAAAAATATCGATATACCATATGGATTCTTTGCGACGACGCCGCGTTCGCTTTCCAGAGGCTCCGAATCGCCCTCGTCGTTGACAGCTGTCACCCGGAATTTGTACTCGCTTCCGGGATTCAGGCCAGTCACCTCAAATTCCGTGATCGGCGAATTTCCAGGTATTTTGCCCACTCTGACCCATTTTCCGGTTTTTGTGTCCATCTTCTCGATCTCGTATTCTTTGATCGGCACACCACCGTCATCCTCCGGCTTCTCCCATTTCACCTTAGCCGTAGTGTTGGTGACGTCGCTTACTTCCAGAGGTCCTTTAGGAGCGCTCGGTTTTCCTGCAACAAGAGATTTAGTGCTTGAATTAAGACTTTTTTCTAATACTACTCACTCTATAGTAATTTTATTTTATTTTATTTTTTTCAGAAATCGTGTAATTAATATAAAAACTAGATAAAAATATATTAAACTTTAATCGAGTTATATTTTAAATCGTTAATAAATTATTGCATATATATTTTAATTTTTAGATTGTATCGCGAGGAAAAATCAAGTTTGAAAATTAGAGATTTACCGAGTACTGTGAGTTCGACGGTTTCCTCATCCTTGCCGTTAGCGTTCTCGGCGATTAGGGTATATTTTCCGGTATCCTTGCGCATCGCATTGACGATTGTGAAATTTGTATGATAGTCGACATTGTCGATCTTGATGCGTTCGGTAGTGGTCAGCGGGATATTATCCCTCCAGATCCACTTAATCTCTGGCGGTGGTTCACCAGACACATCCACAGACCATTTATGCGTGCGACCAGCTTTGATGATGATGGACTTGAAGGTGGTCCGGTCGATTCTTGGTCTCACTGAAAAAATTAATTTTTAATTTTAAGAGTTGAATATCCTTCTTATAAATTAATTAGGCAATTTTTTTATTTGAGAAATATAAAATATTTCCAAAATATATCATATCATATTTAATTTTCTCTTAAAAAATAAACATCTAACAAGAGTAAGATTATGTAGGTGGCAAGTTTGTAATAATTTTGATAAATTACTTCATTGTAAAAAGCAATTTTTTAATAATTATAAAAACTGTAAAAAGGAGGAAACGAGAGAAAAGATCTAGATTAAACTATACAAATTTCAACTTACAATTCCTATGTTTGCAAAGATGATTGTCCGTGGGATCGCTGGGCTCGCCAGGACCGGCCTTGTTGTGAGCGCGAACGCGGAATTGATACACCATCTTTTCCTTGAGGCCTTCAACTTTAGCCTCGGGAGTCGAATCGGTAGTTTTCATCACTTCGATCCAGTCGGCGGCAAATTTGTCCTTCATCTCGACGATGTAGTGAGTGATCGGTCTGCCACCATCGCTCTTTGGTTTCTCCCATTTCAGCGACACGCTGACATTGTCGTAGTCGAAAATTTCCGGCTTGCCAGGCTTGCCAGGCTCATCTGTCGAAAAAAATGTATAAAATATAAAATACGCTGTTCTAATATATAACAAAATTTAATTAAATTAATAATATTTTAATTATCTAATTTAAAACTATTAATCATCAGCAAAATCAGATACGTCCTTACCGTAAGGATTCTTCGCGAGAATAGCTTCCTCAACCTCCAAGGGTTCGGACTCGCCTTCCTTGTTGACCGCTTTGACGCGGAACTTGTACTTCTTCTTGGGCGTCAGGCCAGAGAACGTAAAGGTCTTCTCGTTGCGGCCGACTTCTCCAGCTGGAATCCATCGTCCGGTGTCTAAGTCCATCTTTTCCAACACATAGCCCGTGATATCGGTACCGCCGTTGTCCTCGGGTGAATCCCATTTGACCTTGACGTGATCGGCGCGGACTTCTTCTACTTTGAGCGGTCCTAATGGAGCCGATGGTTTGTCTGCAGGGGAATAAGATGCAATGATTATATTCGAGATATTCTAATAAATTTTATTCTTTTATAAACAAGATGAAAACAAATGGAAAACTGGTTTTATATAATTTTAAATAAATTTCATACTGTTTTACTAATATTTAATCTTAGATTTTGTATTATTAAATTATTTATTCTATAAATTAATTAAAATTATTTTTTAAGAATATTTTCTTTTTTTTTACTAACATTTTTATTAAAGAAACATCAATTGAGACTTCTATCCGGAACGTCTCGTACATTAACAGACACGATAAACTTACCTAAAACGACGACGTCGGCGATGCTCTCGCATGTACCGGAACTGTTCGTCAGCACCAATTTGTATTTTCCGGAATCAGGTCGGGTAGTCCTTCTGACTGTCAACACAGTATTTCTCTCGTACTTGTCGATCGTGATCCTCTCGGCCGCGTCTTGGACAATCTCCTTCTGACCGAGCAACCAATGTACCTCCGGATCCGGCTCGCCAGCGTACTTGATGTCGTACTTGATGACCTGACCTTTTTTGACAACCAGGTTTGTAAGACCTTCGCCGATGATGTATGGTTTGACGAATCGGCATTTGGCGATGATCGGTTTCGTGGCGTCGGACGGTTCACCGGGACCGGCCTTGTTCACCGCCCGTATTCTGAACTCGTATTGCGTGCCTTCCTTTAGACCGTCAATAGTCGCTTGAGTGACGTCACCCTCGATCTCCTTGCCCTTCACCCATTCCTTGCCGAATTTCTCTTTGTACTCGATTACGTAACCAGTGATCGGTGCACCGCCATCATTCTCTGGTTTCGTCCATGTCAAGTCAGCATGATCTTTATCCCAGTCGGTTACATCGACGTTTGTCGGTTTGCCTGGCTCATCTGTAAAGTGTCGACAAAGCCCTTTGTTTTTTATACTATTTCAAAATTGGCATATTTATGAATAGTAAAATCAGAATGTAAAAATTTTTCAGATTAAATTATTAGAATTAATGTTCATATTTAAATAAAACTATTTTTTAATTAAATTTTATATACATATATATATATATTTAATCAAATTTTATATACATAGAGATGATAATAAATTTTGATTAATATAGGTTCGACAAACTTACCCCATGGATCCTTGGCTAAGACAGGCTTGGCGAACATTGCCGGTTCGCTGGAACCGAGCTTGTTTACGGCTCGTATGCGGAACTTGTACTCCTTCTTCGCAACAAGATCTGCAACTTTGTAGACACATTTCTCGCCCAACATGACTTCGCCCACGTTATCCCATTGAGATTTCAAGCTGAGATCGAGACGCTCGATGATGTATTTCGTAATAGGAGTGCCGCCGTCATCCTTGGACGGCTTAAACGACACGACGCAGGAGTTCTGGAAAATCTCGTTGACCTCAACGTCGTACGGTGAAGATGGAACGTCTGAAGAGAATAATTTAAAAATAAAGAAAAAATACAAAGAAGAGATGCAAGATTTTTTAAAAATAATTTTTAAAAAATGTTATAAACCTTGCATAACAATGTTGACGTCCTTTACTTCTTCGCCTTGATTGTTACCGATCTTTATCTGATAGATTCCGGATGACTCGCGCTGAGGTTTCTTGATCTTATACGTAATTTTATCCTCGCCGACAACAATCTCGACTTCCTTGAGAGGTAGCGGTTTACCATCTTTCATCAGTTTTGCTTCCACTTGACTTTGCTTGGTGCCATCGACTGTATAGATTACAAATATAAGTGTCACAACTTGCAATCCAGAACATATATTTACACATTGTTATATTTTTTTAAAGTTCTTTTATATTTTACTGTCTTTTTATTTCAATTTATACAAATTATAAATAAAATATAATTAAATATCAAAATATAATATAAGTATGTAAAAATAAAATGTAAATAAAATACGAGTGAGCCATTACCTTTGAAAGGCACAACAAAGATCAACGGTGCACTGCAAGGTCCTTCGACCTTATCGGGAAAATCGACGATAGGCTTGCTCTCGCCCTTCTTCACGGTGAGCTTGCAGCTGCTGGTCAGCTGACCGCTCTCGCACATAATCTCACCGTCGTCCGTCATCTCCGCTTTGTTGAAGACCAACTGATGTTTACCACCGCCGAGATTCTTGATCTCTATTCTCTCGTTGGGCTCGATTTTTTGGCCGTTGAAGTAGAATACGGCCGGCGCGGTCTGATCCTGAAGCTCGACGTCCAGCACCAGCTTCTCTCTCTCTATCGCAACCGTGTCCTTCAACTTCTTGTTGAAGCGATTGGCGTCTGTGATTTTTGCACAAGAATACATGATTTTAATACTTTTTTTCCGAGATTGAATAATTGAGAATAAATTAAAGTAACTTTGTTACTTACAATTAATCACAATTTCGGCTTCCGTTTTATCGGCGTTGCTCACACAAGAATACAGCCCGGCATCGGTGACTTTGCAGTCTTTAATAACAAGCTTTCGTTTCCTGCCATCTTCCTTGATTTGCACTCTGATAGCACAAGAAATTGTTTATATAAAGCATTCTCAGAAGAGAGATAGATAAGTGGAAAATATATTATTAATTTAAAGTACCTTTTGTCAGGTGTGATCGCTTGGTCACCCTTAAACCATTGAACTTCACCCGCAGCATCATCGAGTTCGCAAAGCAAGGTCAGTGTCTCCTTTTCTACCAGCTGCTGATGCTTCAACACTTTGACGAACTTGTAAGGATATTCTGAAAAGGAGAAATCATCATTAAATTTTGTAAGTTTGACAAAATGTTTTAGGCAAAATCATATCATAGAAAAAAATATTATATATATTATATAATATTATAATATTAAAATTATATCTCTTACCGACTACAGTAAGAACAGTATCTGTCTTATCCGTCTGTTTGCTTATCTTGCAACTGTATTCGCCACTATCCTCGAGGGTTGCGCTTTTGATCGTTAGCCGACATACGCCGGACATGTCTTTCGAGATACTGAACTGGTCTCCATCCTAAAGAACAACATTTAACATCGAGAAGTGTCGAAAATAATGTTTCACTCGAATTTTTACTGCGATAATTACCTCGAGTTTCGTCTTGCCTTTATACCAGGAAACTTGTGCCAGATTGGAACTGACTGTACACTCCATGTAAGTCTCGTGCTTGGTGAAGCCACTGCTTTTCTTCGGCAGCGGTTTTGTGAACGTATATGTTGGATCAGGTTCTGAAATTTTGAGATATTATAAACATATTTTTTTCTATAACAAATATTTGATTGAAAACAAGAGTTTAGTACAAATATATACCGTCCACATTGAGGAATCCTGTGCTGGATACCCCGGCAATTTCGATCGTGTATTTTCCAGTATCTTCGACTTTAGGTCCACTAATGATTAGCTGATAGCAATCTTCCTCGTTTTTAAATTTATATTTGGCCGATGCGAATAATTCCTGTACAAAAAACAAATAATCAATATCACTATTTATTCTACTTTTTTATAATTATAGAGAATATATCATATATAAAATTTTTTAATTAAATAAATTTCGCAGCAATATAAAAATAAATAATATTAAATAATTGAAGAAATTATTTCTTTCAACACACTCACATCCTTTCGGAAGAACCATTTCGGTTTGCAGTTCGGTTTCGAAAAGTTCGCTTCGAAGACGACCTTCTTGTCCTTGCCCTCTTTGGCATATTGATCCACCAGTGGCTTCAGGAAGCTCTCTTGTTTCTGCAAATGAGAGAATCATCAATCAACCATGAATCATGTTCGTGAATTTAGCCGAGGAATTCCACAGTAGTAATATCGTTCAACATCGACAGCTTTGCCAGGCGATACAATAAAGATAGAAGAAAAAATCGATGAAAAAAATCGAAAAAACGCCGCCGCTGCCTCTCCGTACGAGCAGAAGAACGGAGGGTAACAGACGACAAAAAAAAGACAAAGTCTCCATGAATACTTCGAGAGAGACTCTAGGAAAAAAATATTCTAGAGAAAAACATGGAAAAATTTGCAAGAAGCTCGATCGATCGTTCGTCGGCTGGACCGGACATTTTCAAGCCTGTAACTCGTCATGCTTATTACTGTTAAGATTGTTAAACAGTTTTGAAAAAGAGAAGAGTCAGAGTAGGCTTTCTCGAGAAGATTGTTCGTCACTGCTCGAGCAAGATGCGCGAGAAGATAATTGCTGAAGAAGCCGCCGCTTACGATACATTCAAAACACGACATTGATGATAAAAGACATTATATATTTGATATTAGGAATTCCAATTGTGGCTATCGTCTCGTTTTTTCAATCAGTTCAATATATTGAAAGAAGATATATTTTTAATAGTTTTATTTTATAAAATTAATATATGCACAATATCAATTTTAGAATCTAAAATAGAAATAAAAGTATTAATAATATGAAGATATATATTGTGTGGGTTTATGAGTTTAAAATTAATTTATAACATTTGAACACCACACTTTTATATAATAATATAAGAAATATTCTAATAAAAAATATATATTTCAAGTTTAATTTAATTTATTAATAATTATTAATTTATTATAAAAAGTGTTCCTATTTTTTTAACTGTCTAAGTTAACAAATTGCTTCATTATAAAAATGGTCACAAATTAGAATCCCTTTAAATAAGTTTTAAAATTATACAGAATGTGTTTATCGGAAGAATAAGAGAAGAATTAGAAGAGATAAAGTTATATAAAGATTGAAGAGGGTGCAATAGTGGAAATAAAGTAACTTCAATTTTAAGAAATTAATTAAAGGATAATAAAGTTCATTAATCGAAGCCACAGAAGAGAAGTAGAATTTAAGGAGAAACGATTAATTTGTACAAAAGTATTGTCGAGTGAAAGAATGAGAGATTTCTCGAGCGAGTCAGAGAAAGAAGACAAACAGATCGTCGAGTTTCGGAGACTGTTTGAGATAAACAGCGACAGGCAAACATCGACAGTCAATATCACGTGATATTATCGATGAAATAATTCAATTCACGTAAGAATCGGTCCAACCTCCGTCTTGGTGAAGTGATGCAGGATCGGCCAGTCGGGAATTAATTCGGCCAGAGACGGCCTACGCGATCCACTATTCTAGAAACAACAAAAGGAAAATCCGCAATCACAGTAGCTTCTCCTGACGCGGTTGTCAATCTTATTTGCTGATCGTTTTCAGCGAAGAACCCCGATGGGCTTTTATTCAGAATTTGATTGTCATTGCTATTTTACAGTTTCGTAGTTCTAGTTATTTCGAACTTCCTGAATAAATCATTGCTATTATAAATTATGCATGATTAGTACTATGTATAGTTAAAATCACTAAATAATTATATATAACAGTTATAATATATGTATATATACAATTATATATAAAGAGTTACGATAATTATTAAGCTATAAATTATTACAGAATATTATTTAAAGTATATTATGTTAAAACAATTATTAAATATAATGTGTAGTTATTATTTTTAGTTAATGATGGCTGTTTACTTCTAATTGCATCAATAGTTTTGCAATTTTGCACATATATAAGTCACATAACTCAACAGAGCGAAATGCGATAACGAAGAATGTCTAAAATGTCTTAAATCTAAATAATTTATATAATTTATTTGAAAATGTGAGATAAGATTAAATATCTACATTGTTAATATTTTAGTTCACAAATACGAAAGCGTATGATCACATGCGTGATAATAAGAGTACTTATTTTTAATTAAGCCAAGCATGAGAAGCGTGGACGATTCAGCCGTGATTTATTAATTTTTATTTCTGTTACGTAAATTTATATATTTACATCTCTGTTTTATATAGTATCTTACAATTTATAGAAATTATTTGGAAAAGCGCAGGCCAAAAAAAGGGATTTCTCAATCGTGAATAGTCGCAAGAATTCTGAAATAATTCATCGAAAATTATAAATCTTAATTTAATCATTACGTTTTTCGCAAAATTCTGACTCGATCAATTATAATTTTAAAATTCTTGCGATTAACTGGCTTTTGTCATGTTTTTACTGATTTATTTGATTTGCATTCTCAGTCAAATCAATGTAACATCCCGTTTTAATAAAACAAAAAGATCAATCGCAGTTATATATCTTTCAAGCGCCCACATTGCGCAAGAATTGATCTCTTTGCCACGTAACAACGCGACGCAAGTTTTTCTGTCTTATATTTCGTTCAAAGCATCACGTTTAGAAAGTTCAAAGAACACGGGTATTCTGGCAAATTATAATCGTAAAGAAAAAATCGGAACATAAAATAAATCTTATTTTATTATATGTTCTTTTTTTGTAATTTTAAATTATTTTTTATGTAAAAAAAAGTAGATTTTTAAATCTGCGATATATATTTTGAGAAATGTTTAATTAACCTGAATACACCGTGCAAATAAAAGCCTTGCGGGGGCAGTTTTGTTTCGTGGTTTTTGGATTCTAATGCAAGGATGTGTTGCTTTAAAGATTTTTTTTTTCGCGAACCTTCTCCTTGGCGCATGTCGCTAGTTTTGGCCAGTCGACGATTAGCTCCTGCAAACTTGGCCTGCGCTGAATGTCGAAGATGTCCTGCATGCCCGGATATACACACACATTATGGTTAATGCCACTCTTATAGCCACTCTAATAGCAATCATCAAAGAACTCTGATAAAAAATATATATTTAATAAAAAAGAGATTTAAAAAAAAGAAAGAGAAAGACGAGCTAATTTTTTTCAATTGTATAATGTGCTTTTTATATATGAGGCATATGTTAAACATTTTGATTAGACATTTGAAACTGCGGAATTGAGTATATCAGAGTTCTTATCTTTTACTGCGATAGAGTTCTACGCGTTTAGAGATAATGCTTCCCTCAATATGAGATGTTACATGCAGTAAATTTGAAATGTTGTCAATTTCATCACACGTTTCATTGACAGTTCATGTTCTCTTTCTTTCACTATAGGCTTTCTTATTACGTTAATAGTGGTTGCTTGTTAATAAAAAAATGTGATGATACAGTGTAAAAATATGCAGCCAACCCTCAATATAAGCATGGTAAAATAATCTATAATATAATTTACATATTTATTTAAGAAAAATATCAAATATTAATCTTGCGTGCGAATTTTTATCAATATTGAGCAATGTAAGTTAAAATAGATTATTTGAAATTTGATTAATAATTTGCAACATCTGTATTAATCGCGCAAATTGAGAAAAGTTGTAGTTTGCAGCATTAACTCTAAATCATACATATACATAAAAGTGCACACGTTAAGGATAAAAAAGAAAGTTACATCGCTTGTGCGACAAAGGCAGAGGAAAACTGAAGAACTAATTGACACAATTAAGATTTATTCTCATGAGAATAAAATTTTTACTCTTCTAATAACAATCAAGATTCGGTAATTTTCTTAACGACTTCCTAATTATTCTTGTAATTATTTATTTAATTTATTTTAACGTTAAAAAATGCAGAAAGCAGACGGTGAATTCTAATGTCTTGTCAGTGTTCAAGTGTTCGTCATCGTTATATTTTGTCATCATCATTTAGGGTTCACTAAATAAGGTCGTTAGAAAAAAACCTTGAGCCAGCTCCAGTTACTTTCACTCTTTTTGTCTAGAGAAATTCGAAGGATCTCCACACCCTCCGCCATGATCACTATATCCTCGCCTTCTTGAAACCAGCTCGGTCCATGTAGCTCGCTTTGTAACGACTGAGAGAACAGAGGTAGAGAAAGAAGAGAAGAAGAGAGAGGAACGGATAAAAAGTACATTCCGAGATTTCAGAGATACACCACCGCGTAAATTATGTTTCAGCAGATCAACAACGCAGTGAAGTTGTTGTTAATTCTATGCTAAATAAAAAAAAATTACGCGTTTCTTTAATTAATCATCTGACAAAATGTTGTTCTGTAACTTTATTTCAAAGTGAAAGAAGATGAGAAAATTCTATTAAACAGAAGCGTGTCTTAAATCTTGTGATATAATCGACAAATTAAAAACAAATGAGAAAAAAATTAAAAAAAAAAAGAAAATTATAACGCAGATAATTCGATAGACGACGTTTTTATGTTATATATTCATGTTATTATTGCTATATCACCTGTTCCCAGGCTGTTAATGGCTGAAATTGCATTTGCACATCGACGTTATGTGCATTACATCGATGATTTACGATTGTAAGTATGATGCGTAACCAACTTCCTTTTAAAGAATATCACGCGAAACAATTCTGTTCAGATTAAACCTATTTCGAAGTCAGTAATATTCATATAAATTAATTTCATTAGCGTTCTACGCCAATTGAAAACTTATTAAATTTCTTGCAAAATATTGTTTATATCATAATTTTCACATACGCGCATATATATATGTACAACCAAACAAGAATACATACCCTTTCCACTTTCTTCAACGCCGGCATGGGCTTCTCAACTTCTTTCAAGTCCACCTTCTCTTGCTCGGCCTCCTCTCGTCCCCATTTTTGATACTTTCTCTTCTTCAACATAGTACGGAAGTCCATGCCACTGGCGTCTATTATAATAAAATTCGTTTGTTTAAGATAAAATTTAGGGCATTAATGCAACTTTTGTATTACTATATTGTATGAAATATTAAATTTGAAAAATTCATATATATAATATAGTACTAAAATATTTTTTATTATAGATAAATATTAAACAAAAACGCGCTGTGAATATTTTGTATTCGATTTTCAAGTTTCGTCGACGGTTAGATTAAATCGACTCACCAGAAACATAGAGCTGCATCTCAGCAGAATCCTCGCCGTGGATGTTACTCACGACGATCTTGTAGGTGCCCTCGTCGTTGGGCTTCGTCTTCCTCATGCAGAGGGTAATCGTGTTGGTCTCCGAATCCGTGAGGAACTTGAAGCGGCCACCTTCGATAATCTCGGTGATGCCCTTGTAAAACTTGAAAGTTGGCGCAGGTGTACCCTCCACCGCGACGGTGAGATACGCCGTCGAGTCTACAAAGAATGTCAATATAAAAACGTTCTTCTTTATTGTAGCCGCGAAAATTATATGGCAATTGAAAATATTATATTAGTTATAATAATTATATAATATTAAAATATTTTTATAATTCTATATTAATATATATAATATTGAGGGAAAAAATGAGTGTAATATTACTTACACACTCGTAAATACCGTACAAGATATTAGAATATGAAAAAAATTGTGTTTTTAAAGCTTTAAAGTCTGATAGGGCTAACGAAGAATAGAATGCATTACCTTCGACGGCGGAGTACGATTCCTGGACATCGACGATTTGGGGTGGTCCAGCTGGTCCGACATCTCGTAGAGGTGTGCTAGGCTGATTGATCTTATTCTCGAGGTCCGCCACGCTGGGTCTTCTGATGTCCGCTGTGCTCGGACGACGACGCTGCGCCATTCAAATGAGAATGTGAGCAAACTTTTGTACACTCTTTACCTCTTCGCGTTTGACATAGACATTCGACAAGCTTTCGAAAGAAAGCAAGAAAGTTTGAAGCACGACGCGACACGGCAACTTCCGTCGATCTTCTATTAATTAAGTTTGATTTAACTTCGAGTAATTTCATGGAATCAGAAATGCAAATTACAATTTATTATAATTAATAAATAATGTTACATCGAAAGTGATGATTAAATACATTGAATTATTTCTTAAAAGCGTATCTTTCAATTTTGATTTCTATTTTGTATCGATAAAAATTAATTTGCATGATTTTATTTCTCTTAAGATTTTTTTTTTTGTAAAAGAGAAGATAACAAAAAAAAAAAAAACGGAAGATACCTTCGTCGTTCAAAAAATCTGCAACTCATGCGAGCATTCGCATGAAAGCATTTATACATTTTAATCATTACTTACGTTTATTTGCATTAATTTATCGTTATTTACAATTAATAGTTAATTCACATTATTAGTTGGCGTTACAATCGTTAATTCACTGTGTATTAGTCACAAAAGTCGGGTAAGATTCAATAGGATTAGTGACAATGCCACAACAGTGTTCTTTTTTCAGGATATGCATTGATTAGCAGATGGAATTGATACGTGAACAATTTTACATGATGATTTTTCCGACTTCCGTAGTAACTTCTCCAACCACATGACTCTGTAGCCACTGCGATTTCAAGGGTTTTGCTCGCTTATTTTTAACGAAAGTGTGATTCTTACTTTATAAAAAATAACCAGATTACACTTTCTCTGTACTTTCAATTTTTGCAATACTCCGTCTTTTTATATATTATAATAAACTCTATTTTAAAGATTTTTTATATAATATCAACTTCTCTGAAAAGAGAATATTTTAAATATTAATGTGCTAAATCATTAAACAAAATCTCTTGAATACGCATAGTCGGTGCGAAAACGCAAAGGGAACATGTTAATAACTTGAATGAGAGAATGAAGAAAACAGAAGAGCGTAAACAAAGGTTTTTTTTTTAAATTAATGTGATCGATCCAAGAGACAAACATAAATGTAGTACCAGAGTTAATATTTGGAAAAATTTTTACGCCTCTCCTGCTTTCAATCTTAAAAATAAATAAGGGAATCATTTGGTCGATGGTGAAACGTGTGAGTTTCTACGATGTTATGAGCACGCGATATTTTTTGTGCGTCGATACATATTTAATTGTGCGTGAAAATGTGACAAACGCATTTGTCACGGTGTCGATGCGTGAATCGCGAAGCGGAAGTGCGGATCACAAATACGTGTGAGATGAGAATTTGAAGCTCCGGTACATAATAGTTAATAATTATTTACATAAAATCATCGTCGGTCTAAAGATTAAGGCGACATTAGGTTGCACTGGAAGGGATAACTTTGCGCCACGGTAAAGAGAAAGATACGAATAAGAGAGGAATTAAAGAATTAATTTTTTTTATTTAATAATAACGCTAAATAAAAAATATATTATTATTTTTATTTATTACGGTTATCCCTATTAATGCAATTTATCTTATGATAATGATCTACGGTGTTGTTAACAATATTCTTGATTTCTTCTTCCAAATAATAGCTGTCAATGTTAGGTATGAAGATATAGAATCACATAAAGGAAAACAAAAGATATAGAAATTTGGGGAAAAAAGAAAGAAAGAAAGAAACGTGAATTCGAAGTAATGAGTATGATATGGGCGATCATTTTTACTGCTTGGTGATGCTAACACGAATATATGAAAATGATTCCTTACTCTGTGAACCGATCTGATCCTCGTTACATCAACTAAATTGCCGTTTGTCTAACGGGAAACTAAATGATTAGGATTATTTACAAAAAGGCACATTATAGTAAAATATCTACACGAC